GAGCCAGGCATTCTGTCCAGAGTCCACATCCACAGCCACCACTTTAGTGACCAGATAGCCCACATCTGCTGAACGAGGCACCATCTCAGCCACCAGAGAACCCCAGTCTGGACTGGGTACAGCCTGAGGGCGTTATCGTTCTGATCCTGAACCAGGATTTTCACAGTCACATTGCTGCTGAGAGGAGGAGAGCCTCCGTCCTGCGCTTTGATTACGCACACAAACTTTGTTTGTTCATAATCAAATGAGCGCGCGGCACTAATAACTCCGTTTCTGAATTAACAGAGATAAACCAGAAACAGGAGAGCCACCAATGTCACACTCCTCTAAAATATATGACACATGCGCGTTCTGGTTTTCATCCGGGTCTTTGCAACGACACTTAGCACAGAAAACCAGGGAATTATTCTCTGTTATAGCGGCGCTGTAGACCAAAGTGAACACTCGAGAGTTATCATTCACATCGAGAATCTTTATATTGAAAGTTTGTTTAGCTGAAAGTGAGGCTTTCCTGAGTCTGAGGCGATTACTGTGATGTTAAATTCTGATAAAGTCTCCGTCAAATGGTGCATTGGTAACCAGTGCGTAATAGTTTCTAACATTACTTTGATTTCAACAGCAGTTCCCCACTGTGCATCTCACCTGTCCATTCTCATCCGAATCCAATCTTTTACATTAATTATACGATGGTGGTGCCCACGGGAGCGTCTTCTGAAACTGGAGTGGTGAAACGACATGAACGTTAATAACAGGCTGCATTATCATTTTCGTCAATTATATCTATTTCTACTTACTTGTGTCGTTGCCCACCTTGGTCTTTAGCTTCAACCCTAAACTCTATTTTCTGGTTTTTTCAAAGTCAATATGTTAGCGCACAAAATACTCCCAGTGAACTCATTTATTTCAAAGAAGTCAGACATGGGAGCATTTGATTTGGAAAAAGAATATGTCACTTGACCATTTGGTCCACTGTCTAGGTCACTAGCATTTACCGTAACGACATGTGTGCCTTTGGGAGAATTTTCCGTCACAGATGCTTTATAAATACTTCTGATTAAACACAGGGCGTTGTCATTGCATCTAACACACTATATTGATATTTACTGTACCAGATCTCTGCGGACTTCCTCCATCCACAGCCACCAGTTTTAAGATTAAGGTGCGACTGTTTCTCTCTGTCTAATGCCTTCTGAAGCACCATTTGAATGTAGTTACTGCCGTCTTTTAAGATGCTGCTTAAAAAACAAAATTTTCAGATGGGGTCAAGATATATTTTAACCAATTTTCTCCTACATCAGCATCCCGTGCAGCTTCCAAATCAAAACGTGATCCAATTGTGGCGGATTCGCTTATTTCAAAATCCAAGCGTTTACTCTGAAAAGTAGGAGCGTTGTCGTTTATATCCAGCACCTCTATAGTCACAGGGTGTAACTCCATCGGGTTTTCAGTAAAATCTCAAACGTGAAGCTGCAGGGCGTCACGTCTCCACAGAGCTGCTCTCTGTCTATCCTCTCATTCACCACCAGAGTCCCTTTGTCTGTCTTCAGCTCGGCGTACTGAACATTTTCTCCAGTCACGATACGAGCTCGGCCTGAACGAAGCCTTTTTATGTCCAAACCCAAGTCCTGTGCAACGTTACCAATAAGAGAGCCCTTCCTCATCTCCTCTGGGATTGAGTAGCGGATCTGTGCGTCGACTTGAATCAAAAATAACATCAAGAAAATACACGACGATATAGCTTGTACAGATGGCACAAAAAATGATGTTACACGTTGAAAAAGTCCAAATGCCATGGTGAAAACAAACAAATCAAATCAATCACGTTAACAGAACTACATACAGTATTAGGTTTCCAGTTTTCCAGGCTATATTTCCGTTGTGGCGATGGACGCGGACTGAAAACCTGTGCCACTGGAGACAAAACGCAGTGATGGGAGGGAATAACACAGACCCACAGAACGCTCTAAACGACTCACAGGACAACAGCGTCACTTTGAGGCCAAACACAGAAACTATTGGCCATACTTGGGCGTATTCATTAACGGGAAGCAAGTGGATTGGCCTTTTGCAATGGTCACATTAAAAATGGAGCAAAACAGTATATAGCCATATTATGTATATATATTTTATATTAATTAAGAAGTATTTTATTGAAGATTTGGCAGTTTTATACAATAACAGTAATCAAACTAAGACTGGCAAGCAAGTGTCAGAGCAAAACATTTAAACTTAATTACGTAAGTTACTGTAAAAAAAACAAAAAAAACCTAACATGAATTAAAGAAAAACATAATTATTTCTCATATCTACCTAAAGCATTCCTAATTATAGTATTAATTTTACGTTAATGTATTTAATATGAATAAATAATAATAATAATAATAATAATAATACATCAAACTTATAAAGAGCTTTTTGGACACTCAGATGTTTCACAAAAAAATAGGAAACAACAGGGGAGAAAAAATGGTAGAAAATCGCGGTGGAAATCATGGAAAACAAAAGAAAATATAAAAACATGACATTATAAAAAGTTGGCTACAAAAATAAAATTAAAAATAAAGGCAAAAATTTAACCAAATCAGCACCATGGATAGTACACAACTCAGAAAAAATACAAGTATAATGACAGCAGAAAAGAAAAATGTGTACTGAAGTTTGAGTTACATTACCTGAAAATCTAAATATTGCGCTGCTCAATTTTAAGTTAAAAAAGTATTGATAAGAAATTTAAATATAATTAAGAGGGAAAATAAATCAACCAAGCACTGAAAGAGCACAATAACGCTCAATGACCTTACTCAAACTAATTTACCATAAAAATGTTTGTATTTAATGGAATCAGTAGACGCAAGTTCAAGCGCATCATTAAATAAAAAAATAATGTCTCACCAATGTAGAGTTTGTGGATCTCTGATGTCCATTTTGCGCAGAATCAGTCCCGACGTCATCAACACTGACCAGACTTTGACTCATGGGCTGCATGTATTTAATGTCACTCTTTCTGGAGTCTGTGGTCCTGCACGTGTCGTAATTGTACACGTGTGGGAGAGTCGCTGTGCCCAGAGTGTCTGAGTAACGTGGAGGATAATATGGGATCACTGGCAGATTGGAGTGATACAGGATGCGAGACTGTCTCCATCTGTAGATTTTCACTGAGATAATGACCACTACACACGTGATGAACAGAAAGGAGACTACAGCCAGAGCCAGCACTAAGTAAAAAGTCAGGTTGTCATTGTACTCCTTGTCGTGCGTAAAGTCAGTGAACTCAGACAGTACTTCAGGAAAGCTGTCCGCCACCGCCACGTTAACAATGACTGTAGCTGAACGAGAGGGCTGCCCGTTGTCCTCCACTATAACAGTCAGTCTCTGTTTGACTGCATCTTTATCAGTCACTTGGCGGATAGTTCTTATTTCTCCATTCTGTAAGCCCACTTCAAACAGCGCCCTGTCTGCGGCTTTCTGCAGTTTATAGGAGAGCCAGGCATTCTGTCCAGAGTCCACATCCACAGCCACCACTTTAGTGACCAGATAGCCCACATCTGCTGAACGAGGCACCATCTCAGCCACCAGAGAACCCCCAGTCTGGACTGGGTACAGCACCTGAGGGGCGTTATCGTTCTGATCCTGAACCAGGATCTTAACTGAGACCACTGAGCTCAGAGGAGGAGAGCCAGAGTCACGAGCTGTTACATTAAAATCAAATTTCTTTACTTGCTCATAATCAAAGGATTTGACTGCAAAATTACGCCATTTTCTGAATTCATCGACACTAAAGAAGACAGAGACGCACCATTAATTTCCATGTCTTCCAGGAAGTATGAAATCCGGGCGTTTTGGCCCCAGTCTGCATCAGCTGCACGTACAGTGAAAATAGAAAATCCAGGTGAGTTATTCTCAGGTATTGTTCTACTATATTCTGATTCGTCAAACTTTGGGGGGTTGTCATTGACGTCGGAAACTTTGACCTGAATTGTTTTTCTGTTTGAAAGCGGCGGGGAGCCTTGATCAGTCACTGTTAGAGTAATATTATATTCTGAGACACTCTCTCTGTCTAACACGTCATCAGTCACTATTGTATAATAACCAGACAATGAAGATTCAATTTTAAAAGGTAAATCAGAACTAATAGAACATTCTACTACACCGTTTCTCTCTGAGTCGTCGTCATGAACATTAATCACAGCTAAAGTTGTGCCTGGAGGGGCATCCTCGGAGATTGTGCTTGAAAATGACATGAGCTGAATAACAGGAGAGTTATCATTCACGTCAGTTACCTGGATAATCACGCTGCATGTGTCTGAATAGCCTTCCGTGGTCACTAGCCCGAACGTTCAATTGATGAGACTTTGAATTTTCATAATCTAATTTACCCATGATTGTAATTTCTCCTGTTTTGGCATTTATGCCAAACAGTTGCTTAGCCTCTTTACTGACGTGAGCAAATGAAAATGTAACGTCACTATTGACTCCTGTATCTGCGTCAGTGGCGCTGACGGTGGTGACCACAGTTCCTATTGCAGAGTTTTCTTGAACCTCAGCTTTATACACCTGTTTACTACAGACTGGTGCATTATCGTTCGCGTCTAGTACAGTGATGTGAATACGTGCTGTTCCTGATCTCTGAGGTGCGCCTCCATCTGAAGCGACCAAAATCAGTGTATGTTCCTCATTTTTCTCTCGATCTAAAGGCGTTTCCAAAATCATCTCAACAAATTGACTCCCATCAGGGCGACTCTGTGTTTCCAATTTAAAATGATCATTAGGTTTTAGTGTGTATTTTTGAATATCATTAATACCTACATCCAAATCATCAGCTCGTTCCAACGCAAACCGTGTCCCTGGTGCAGCAGTTTCAACTATATTCAAATGTAATACGTCTTTGGCAAAAGCTGGAGTATTGTCGTTCACATCTGTTACCTCCACAGTGACTCGATACAGCTGAATTGGATTCTCCAGAATCACCTCAAAACTAAAACTGCAGGGCGTTGTTTTTTTACACAGCTCCTCTCGGTCGATTCGCTCTTTAACAACAAGGATGCCTTTGTCTCGATTTAAATCCACATAATGTCGACTTTCTTTAGTCACAATGCGAGCGTTCCCCGAGACCAGTCTTTGCACATCTATTCCCAAATCTCCAGCAATATTTCCAACGAAAGATCCCTCCGTCTGTTCTTCGGGAACAGAGTAACGAGCCTGTCCACACACGGACCTCAGCGTAAAGAGACAAAGAACCAGGCCGAGCCACTGCCCTCTGTGAGAGACTCCCTTCAATGAAGCCATTGCAGATATTTACAAATATGAGAAATCCGTTTAAAATATTTAAAGAGAATAATATCCAACAGCATAAAAGCTACAATGAATCCCGTAGTCTGAAACGACCGTCCTCTAGAACAGTAAATGTGAAATGTAGAATAGAGGGAGGATCGTTGCACAATATTACACTCTACAGTCAACAGCGGCGCTCAGAGTCCAGACGGGGTAATGTATCCAGATGGAATAAATTATTATTAAGTAGAAAATAATAATTTAATTCATTTTTAAAATATATTACTGGAGAATGCGCCTTAGACTTAATATTTTCTCAAATTTTAAATATATATTTTTTAAATTTTCCTGATTGATTTCTTCAGTAAGTGGTGATCTGATAGTATTAGCGTACTACATGACTATATTGTAGCATAGTAGTGTTACATATTAAATTGTAATGGGTTTTAATAATTAGTAAATCAAATAAGGCCAATACCTGAATAAAAGAGACTTGCACATTTCAACTAAACTGATCTGGAGATTTTCAGCACCAGAGACAGCGTTCTGGACCCACACTGCAGCAGCAAGAAATAGCTTTATTCAAAGTACTCACCAGAGTTGACATATTGGAGCCTGCAAACTGTTTCTCAAAATTTTGGGCTTCAGAATCGGTTCCACCAACGTCCAGTAAACTTTGACTCATGGGCTGCATGTATTTAATGTCACTCTTTCTGGAGTCTGTGGTCCTGCACGTGTCGTAATTGTACACGTGTGGGAGAGTCGCTGTGCCCAGAGTGTCTGAGTAACGTGGAGGATAATATGGGATCACTGGCAGATTGGAGTGATACAGGATGCGAGACTGTCTCCATCTGTAGATTTTCACTGAGATAATGACCACTACACACGTGATGAACAGAAAGGAGACTACAGCCAGAGCCAGCACTAAGTAAAAAGTCAGGTTGTCATTGTACTCCTTGTCGTGCGTAAAGTCAGTGAACTCAGACAGTACTTCAGGAAAGCTGTCCGCCACCGCCACGTTAACAATGACTGTAGCTGAACGAGAGGGCTGCCCGTTGTCCTCCACTATAACAGTCAGTCTCTGTTTGACTGCATCTTTATCAGTCACTTGGCGGATAGTTCTTATTTCTCCATTCTGTAAGCCCACTTCAAACAGCGCCCTGTCTGCGGCTTTCTGCAGTTTATAGGAGAGCCAGGCATTCTGTCCAGAGTCCACATCCACAGCCACCACTTTAGTGACCAGATAGCCCACATCTGCTGAACGAGGCACCATCTCAGCCACCAGAGAGCCCCCAGTCTGGACTGGGTACAGCACCTGAGGGGCGTTATCGTTCTGATCCTGAACCAGGATTTTCACAGTCACATTGGTGCTGAGAGGAGGAGAGCCTCCGTCCTGCGCTTTGATTACGCACATAAACTCTTTAGTTTGTTCATAATCAAATGAGCGCGCGGCACTAATAACTCCGTTCTCTGAATTAACAGAGATATAACCAGAAACAGGAGAGCCACCAATGTCACACTCCTCTAAAATATAAGATACACGCGCGTTCTGGTTTTCATCCGGGTCTTTAGCAACGACACTTAGCACGGAATAACCTGGGTAATTGTTCTCTGATATCGCAGCGCTGTAGACCGTACGCAAGAACACTGGAGAGTTATCATTCACATCTGAGATCTTTAAATTCAAAGTTTTGTTTACAGAAAGCGGAGGCTTTCCTGAGTCACACGCGATTATTGTGATATTAAATTCTGATAAACTTTCTCGGTCTAACGGCGAAATGGTTACCAGCGCGTAATAGTTTCTAATATTAGATTTAATCTCAAGAGGAGCGCTTCCCTCCACTGAGCATCTCACCTTTCCGTTCTCATCTGAATCCAAATCTTTAACATTAATTATACCGATGGTGGTGCCCACGGGAGCGTCTTCTGAAACTGGAGTGGTGAATGACATGACGTTAATAACAGGCTCGTTGTCGTTTTCGTCAATTATATCTATTTCTACTTTACTTGTATCCGTCAGCCCACCTTGGTCTTTAGCTTCAACCCTAAACTCTATTTTCTGGTCTTTTTCAAAGTCAATATCGTTAGCGACAGAAATACTCCCTGTGAACTCATTTATTTCAAAGAAGTCAGACATTGGTGCGTTTGATTTGGAAAAGGAAAATGTTATTAGTCCGTATGCCCCACCATCTATATCAGTGGCATTTAGTTGAAGAATGTGTGTACCTCTGGGAGAATTTTCCATCACAGATGCTTTATAAATACTCTGATTAAACACAGGGGTGTTGTCATTGGCATCTAAGACCACTACATTTATATTTACTGTACCAGATCTCTGCGGACTTCCTCCATCCACAGCCACCAGTTTAAGATTAAGATGCGACTGTTTCTCTCTGTCTAATGCCTTCTGAAGCACCATTTGAATGTAGTTACTACCATCAGAATTAAGATGTTGCTTAAAAGCAAAATAGTCACTTGGGTTTAATTTATAGTTCTGTAACCCATTTTCTCCTACATCAGCATCTCGTGCAGCTTCCAAATCAAAACGAGAGCCAATTGTGACTGATTCGCTGATTTCAAAATCCAAGCGTTTACTCTGAAAAGTAGGAGCGTTGTCGTTTACATCCAGCACCTCTATAGTCACAGGGTGTAACTCCATCGGGTTTTCCAGTAAAATCTCAAACGTGAAGCTGCAGGGCGTCACGTCTCCACAGAGCTGCTCTCTGTCTATCCTCTCATTCACCACCAGAGTCCCTTTGTCTGTCTTCAGCTCGGCGTACTGAACATTTTCTCCAGTCACGATACGAGCTCGGCCAGAACGAAGCCTTTTTATGTCCAAACCCAAGTCCTGTGCAACGTTACCAATAAGAGAGCCCTTCCTCATCTCCTCTGGGATTGAGTAGCGGATCTGTGCGTCGACTTGAATCAAAAATAACATCAAGAAAATACACGACGATATAACTTGTACAGATGGCACAAAAAATGATGTTACACGTTGAAAAAGTCCAAATGCCATGGTGAAAACAAACACAATCCAATTAATTCACGTTAACAGAACTACATACAGTATTAGGTTTCCAGTTTTGCCAGGCTATATTTCCGTTGTGGCGATGGACTCGGACTGAAAACCTGTGCCACTGGAGACAAAACGCAGTGATGGGAGGGAATAACACAGACCCACAGAACGCTCTAAACGACTCACAGGACAACAGCGTCACTTTGAGGCCAAACACAGAAACTATTGGCCATACTTGGGCGTATTCATTAACGGGAAGCAAGTGGATTGGCCTTTTGCAATGGTCACATTAAAATATGGAGCAAAACAGTATATAGCCATATTATGTATATATATTTTATATTAATTAAGAAGTATTTTATTGAAGATTTGGCAGTTTTATACAATAACAGTAATCAAACTAAGACTGGCAAGCAAGTGTCAGAGCAAAACATTTAAACTTAATTACGTAAGTTACTGTAAAAAAAACAAAAAAAAACCTAACAAGAATTAAACGAAAAACATAAGTATTTCTCATATCTACCTAAAGCATTCCTAATTATAGTGTTAATTTTACGTTAATGTATTTATGTATCTTAACTGATGAAATAATAATAATAATAATAATAATAATAATAATACATCAAACTTATAAAGAGCTTTTTGGACACTCAGATGTTTCACAAAAAAATAGGAAACACCAGGGGAGAAAAAATGGTAGAAAATCGCGGTGGAAATCATGGAAAACAAAAGAAAATATAAAAACATGACATTATAAAAAGTTGGCTACAAAAATTAAATTAAAAATAAAGGCAAAAATTTAACCAAATCAGCACCATGGATAGTACACAACTCAGAAAAAATACAAGTATAATGACAGTAGAAAAGAAAAATGTGTACTGAAGTTTGAGTTACATTACCTGAAAATCTAAATATTGCTCTGCTCAATTTTAAGTTAAAAAAGTATTGATTAGAAATTTAAAAATAATTAAGAGGGAAAATAAATCAATCAAGCACTGAAAGAGCACAATAACGCTCAATGACCTTACTCAAACTAATTTACCATAAAAATGTTTGTATTTAATGGAATCAGTAGACGCAAGTTCAAGCACATAATTAAATAAAAAAAATAATGTCTCACCAATGTAGAGTTTGTGGATCTCTGATGTCCATTCTGCGCAGAATCAGTCCCGACGTCATCAACATTGACCAGACTTTGACTCATGGGCTGCATGTATTTAATGTCACTCTTTCTGGAGTCTGTGGTCCTGCACGTGTCGTAATTGTACACGTGTGGGAGAGTCGCTGTGCCCAGAGTGTCTGAGTAACGTGGAGGATAATATGGGATCACTGGCAGATTGGAGTGATACAGGATGCGAGACTGTCTCCATCTGTAGATTTTCACTGAGATAATGACCACTACACACGTGATGAACAGAAAGGAGACTACAGCCAGAGCCAGCACTAAGTAAAAAGTCAGGTTGTCATTGTACTCCTTGTCGTGCGTAAAGTCAGTGAACTCAGACAGTACTTCAGGAAAGCTGTCCGCCACCGCCACGTTAACAATGACTGTAGCTGAACGAGAGGGCTGCCCGTTGTCCTCCACTATAACAGTCAGTCTCTGTTTGACTGCATCTTTATCAGTCACTTGGCGGATAGTTCTTATTTCTCCATTCTGTAAGCCCACTTCAAACAGCGCCCTGTCTGCGGCTTTCTGCAGTTTATAGGAGAGCCAGGCATTCTGTCCAGAGTCCACATCCACAGCCACCACTTTAGTGACCAGATAGCCCACATCTGCTGAACGAGGCACCATCTCAGCCACCAGAGAACCCCCAGTCTGGACTGGGTACAGCACCTGAGGGGCGTTATCGTTCTGATCCTGAACCAGGATCTTAACTGAGACCACTGAGCTCAGAGGAGGAGAGCCAGAGTCACGAGCTGTTATATTAAATTCAAATTTCTTTATTTGCTCATAATCAAAGGATTTTACTGCGGAAATCATGCCATTTTCTGAATTCAGCGACACTAAAGAAGACAGAGACGCACCATTAATTTCCATGTCTTCCAGGAAGTATGAAATCCGGGCGTTTTGGCCCCAGTCTGCATCAGCTGCACGTACAGTGAAAATAGAAAATCCAGGTGAGTTATTCTCAGGTATTGTTCTACTATATTCTGATTCGTCAAACTTTGGGGGGTTGTCATTGACGTCGGAAACTTTGACCTGAATTGTTTTTCTGTTTGAAAGCGGCGGGGAGCCTTGATCAGTCACTGTTAGAGTAATATTATATTCTGAGACACTCTCTCTGTCTAACACGTCATCAGTCACTATTGTATAATAACCAGACAATGAAGATTCAATTTTAAAAGGTAAATCAGAACTAATAGAACATTCTACTACACCGTTTCTCTCTGAGTCGTCGTCATGAACATTAATCACAGCTAAAGTTGTGCCTGGAGGGGCATCCTCGGAGATTGTGCTTGAAAATGACATGAGCTGAATAACAGGAGAGTTATCATTCACGTCAGTTACTTGGATAATCACTTTACATGTGTCAGAATAGCCTCCGTGGTCACTAGCCCGGATGTTTAATTGATGGGACTTTAATTTTTCATAATCTAATTTACCCATGATTGTAATTTCTCCTGTTTTGGCATTTATGCCAAACAGTTGCTTAGCCTCTTTACTGACGTGAGCAAATGAGTACGTAACGTCACTATTGACTCCTGTATCTGCGTCAGTGGCGCTGACGGTGGTGACCACAGTTCCTATTGCAGAGTTTTCTTGAACCTCAGCTTTATACACCTGTTTACTACAGACTGGTGCATTATCGTTCGCGTCTAGTACAGTGATGTGAATACGTGCTGTTCCTGATCTCTGAGGTGCGCCTCCATCTGAAGCGACCAAAATCAGTGTATGTTCCTCATTTTTCTCTCGATCTAAAGGCGTTTCCAAAACCATCTCAACAATTTGACCCCCGTCAGGCTGAGTCTGTGTTTCTAATTTAAAATGATCATGAGGTTTTAGTGTGTATTTTTGAATATCATTAATACCTACATCCAGATCATCAGCTCGTTCCAACGCAAACCGTGTCCCTGGTGCAGCAGTTTCAACTATATTCAAATGTAATACGTCTTTGGCAAACGCTGGAGTATTGTCGTTCACATCTGTTACCTCCACAGTGACTCGATACAGCTGAATTGGATTCTCCAGAATCACCTCAAAACTAAAACTGCAGGGCGTTGTTTTCTCACACAGCTCCTCTCGGTCGATTCGCTCTTTAACAACAAGGATGCCTTTGTCTCGATTTAAATCCACATATTGTCGACTTTCTTTAGTCACAATGCGAGCGTTCCCCGAGACCAGTCTTTGCACATCTATTCCCAAATCTCCAGCAATATTTCCAACGAAAGATCCCTCCGCCTGTTCTTCGGGAACAGAGTAACGAGCCTGTCCACACACGGACCTCAGCGTAAAGAGACAAAGAACCAGGCCGAGCCACTGCCCTCTGTGAGAGACTCCCTTCAATGAAGCCATTGCAGATATTTACAAATATGAGAAATCCGTTTAAAATATTTAAAGAGAATAATATCCAACAGCATAAAAAGCCACAATGAATCCCGCAGTCTGAAACGACCGTCCTCTAGAACAGTAAATGTGAAATGTAGAATAGAGGGAGGATCGTTGCACAATATTACACTCTACAGTCAACAGCGGCGCTCAGAGTCCTGACAGGGTAATGCACCAGGATAAAGGAAATAAATTATAAACAATGATAATAATGAATTAACACATTATTTTAAAATTCTTGTAAAAGAATGAATAATTCAAAAAAACAAAAAAACAAAAAACATAATAAAAATTAAGATTTAATGTTATTCTCATAATATATGACTAAATTGTCGCATGGTAGTCTTACTTCTTAAAATAACTGTATTGTGTCCTTTTAATCATCGTATTAAAGTAAACAAAACGAAGAGCTGAGTAAAAATTTCAAGTTAAGAAAAGTAAGTTTTTCAGCTCCAGAGAAAGCGTTTACCAACAACACTGAGGCAGCTAGAAAAACAGGTGTAAATATCACTCACCAGAGTTGACATATTGGAGCCTGCAAACTGTTTCTCTAATTGTTGGGCTTCAGAATCGGTTCCACCAACGTCCAGTAAACTTTGACTCATGGGCTGCATGTATTTAATGTCACTCTTTCTGGAGTCTGTGGTCCTGCACGTGTCGTAATTGTACACGTGTGGGAGAGTCGCTGTGCCCAGAGTGTCTGAGTAACGTGGAGGATAATATGGGATCACTGGCAGATTGGAGTGATACAGGATGCGAGACTGTCTCCATCTGTAGATTTTCACTGAGATAATGACCACTACACACGTGATGAACAGAAAGGAGACTACAGCCAGAGCCAGCACTAAGAAAAAAGTCAGGTTGTCATTGTACTCCTTGTCGTGCGTAAAGTCAGTGAACTCAGACAGTACTTCAGGAAAGCTGTCCGCCACCGCCACGTTAACAATGACTGTAGCTGAACGAGAGGGCTGCCCGTTGTCCTCCACTATAACAGTCAGTCTCTGTTTGACTGCATCTTTATCAGTCACTTGGCGGATAGTTCTTATTTCTCCATTCTGTAAGCCCACTTCAAACAGCGCCCTGTCTGCGGCTTTCTGCAGTTTATAGGAGAGCCAGGCATTCTGTCCAGAGTCCACATCCACAGCCACCACTTTAGTGACCAGATAGCCCACATCTGCTGAACGAGGCACCATCTCAGCCACCAGAGAGCCCCCAGTCTGGACTGGGTACAGCACCTGAGGGGCGTTATCGTTCTGATCCTGAACCAGGATTTTCACAGTCACATTGGTGCTGAGAGGAGGAGAGCCTCCGTCCTGCGCTTTGATTACGCACACAAACTCTTTGGTTTGTTCATAATCAAATGAGCGCGCGGCACTAATAACTCCGTTCTCTGAATTAACAGAGACATAACCAGAAACAGGAGAGCCACCAACGTCACACTCCTCTAAAATATATGACACACGCGCGTTCTGGTTTTCATCCGAGTCTCTAGCAACGACATTAAGCACAGAAAAACCGGGGGAGTTATTCTCTAATATTGTCGCACTGTAGTGCGCGCTTATGAAGACTGGAGAGTTATCATTTACATCTGATACTTTTAAATTAAATATTTTTGTTATTGAGAGTGAAGGCTTTCCTAAGTCTGAGGCGATTACTGTGATCTTAAATTCTGACAAAAGCTCTCGGTCTAATGGCGCACATGTCACTAGTGCGTAATAGTTTCTAACATTAGATTTTAATTCAATTGGGGTATTTCCATCCACTACGCATCTTACCTGTCCGTTCTCACCTGAATCCAAGTCTTTAACGTTTATTATTCCAATAGTCGTACCCACTGGAACATCTTCTGACACCGAACTAGTGAACGACATCACGTTAATAACAGGAGCATTGTCGTTAACGTCAATAATATCAATTTCTACTTCACAAGTGTCTGTCAGTCCTCCTTGGTCTTTGGCCTCAACTCTGAACTCCACTTTCTTGTCTTTTTCAAAGTCAATATCTTTAGCTACAGATATAGCCCCACTGATTTCGTCAATTTCGAACAAATATTCTGTTGATATTTTAAGATACGAAATTGAGTAAGTCGTTTGACCGTTTACCCCAATATCGATATCACTAGCATTAACCGTAACGACATGTGTGCCTCTGGGAGAATTTTCCGTCACAGATGCTTTGTAAATATTCTGATTAAACACAGGGGCGTTGTCATTGACATCTAAAATAACTATATCTAAATTTACTGTACCAGATCTCTGCGGATTTCCACCGTCTATAGCCACTAGTTTTAGATTAAGACGCGGCTGTTTCTCTCGGTCTAATGCGTGCTGAAGTACCATTACATTGTGTTTACGTCCATGTGAATTGACTTGTTGTTTTAAAATAAAGTTATCATTTTCAGTCAAAACGTAGTTCTGCAACCCATTTATTCCAACGTCAGCATCGCTTGCAGCTTCCAAGTTAAAACGTGATCCAATTGTAGCTGATTCGCTTATTTCAAAATCCAACTGTTTACTCTGAAATGTGGGCGAATTGTCGTTTATGTCCAGCACCTCTATAGTCACGGGGTGTAACTCCATCGGGTTTTCCAGTAAAATCTCAAACGTGAAGCTGCAGGGCGTCACGTCTCCACAGAGCTGCTCTCTGTCTATCCTCTCATTCACCACCAGAGTCCCTTTGTCTGTCTTCAGCTCGGCGTACTCAACATTTTCTCCAGTCACGATACGAGCTCGGCCAGAACGAAGCCTTTTTATGTCCAAACCCAAGTCCTGTGCAACGTTACCAATAAGAGAGCCCTTCCTCATCTCCTCTGGGATTGAGTAGCGGATCTGTGCGTCGACTTGAATCAAAAATAACATCAAGAAAATACACGACGACATTGCTTCGACAGATGTCACAGACAGTTTCTCTAATGATGTACTACGATTAAATAGTCCAAATAACATGGTGAAAAAAGCTAGTCTAATCAATCCACGTTAACAAAACTGCATACAATGTTAGATTTCTAAATTCATCGGGCTATATTTCTACTGTAGCGATGAAAGCAGTCTGAAAATCCGCTGTGCTCCTCGAGACAAAACGCAGTGATGGGAGGGAATAATACAAATCACAAAACGTTCTCAACAACTCACAGGACAACAGCGTCACTATGAGGCCAAACACAGAAACTACTGGCAAAAGGCTTAGTTGGACGTATACTATAACTGGCGACAAGCGGACTGGCTTTTGTAAAGGTCATATTAAACGATAAAGCAGTACAAAAAGAGAGTATCAAAAAAATATTTAAGGAGTAATTACCAGAGGAAGTTTTAAATAATAGCAATAATAAAAGAAAGAATTGCACGTAAGTGTCCGAGATAAACTTTTAAATATATTATTGCAGAAATCTCAAATTCATTTGACTCAAAAAACAAACACTTTTTAAAATCTACATAAAGCAGTCCTAATTCCCAAGTGATAATTTTACGATTATGTATTTTTCTTATTTGATGATTTATTTATTTTTTTAAACATGAAAATTAGAGAAGTTTGACTGTAGTTTGGTCAGAACTTAGCGTAACAATATCAGCACCATGGACAGTGCACAGCTTTGAAGGAGTATATGCAAAAGACAACGGTAAAGTCGAAAAAATGTTGGCTGATGTTGGAGTTAAATCAGCTTCATTACCTTAAAATGTACAAATGTAACTGCTCAATCAAAAGAAAAAAAAAAAGAAGAAGAAAAAAAGAAAGATTAGATGAAATAATAGTAATTTAAAGTATGTTGACATAATGTTAACATAAATAGTTGCGAATAAGAGAGTGAAGAACATTAATCCATGCACTGAAATAAATAAACTGATCATTCCGGATCTCATTGGCTTTACTCAAACTAATATAGCAATATACTTTTTATGCAATATAATCAGTAAATGTATGTCCAAGCGAATCATGACAATGACGATAATGTCTCACCAGTGTAGAGTTTGTGGATCTCTGATGTCCATTCTGCGCAGAATCAGTCTCGACGTCATCAACACTGACCAGACTTTGACTCATGGGCTGCATGTATTTAATGTCACTCTTTCTGGAGTCTGTGGTCCTGCACGTGTCGTAATTGTACACGTGTGGGAGAGTCGCTGTGCCCAGAGTGTCTGAGTAACGTGGAGGATAATATGGGATCACTGGCAGATTGGAGTGATACAGGATGCGAGACTGTCTCCATCTGTAGATTTTCACTGAGATAATGACCACTACACACGTGATGAACAGAAAGGAGACTACAGCCAGAGCCAGCACTAAGTAAAAAGTCAGGTTGTCATTGTACTCCTTGTCGTGCGTAAAGTCAGTGAACTCAGACAGTACTTCAGGAAAGCTGTCCGCCACCGCCACGTTAACAATGACTGTAGCTGAACGAGAGGGCTGCCCGTTGTCCTCCACTATAACAGTCAGTCTCTGTTTGACTGCATCTTTATCAGTCACTTGGCGGATAGTTCTTATTTCTCCATTCTGTAAGCCCACTTCAAACAGCGCCCTGTCTGCGGCTTTCTGCAGTTTATAGGAGAGCCAGGCATTCTGTCCAGAGTCCACATCCACAGCCACCACTTTAGTGACCAGATAGCCCACATCTGCTGAACGAGGCACCATCTCAGCCACCAGAGAGCCCCCAGTCTGGACTGGGTACAGCACCTGAGGGGCGTTATCGTTCTGATCCTGAACCAGGATTTTCACAGTCACATTGCTGCTGAGAGGAGGAGAGCCTCCGTCCTGCGCTTTGATTACGCACACAAACTCTTTAGTTTGTTCATAATCAAATGAGCGCGCGGCACTAATAACTCCGTTCTCTGAATTTACAGAGATATAACCAGAAACAGGAGAGCCACCAATGCCACACTCCTCTAAAATATATGACACACGCGCGTTTTGGTTTTCATCCGGATCTTTGGCAACTACATTTAGTACAGTATAACCAGGTGAGTTATTCTCCATTATCTTAGCGCTGTAAAGCGCATGAGTGAACACCGGAGGGTTATCATTTACATCTGAAATCTTTAAAACAAATATTTTATTGACTGACAGAGAAGGCTTTCCCGAGTCGGAGGCGATTACTGTAATGTTAAATTCGGATAAGCTCTCTCTGTCTAAAAGCGCACTGGTTAGCATCGTGTAATAGTTTCTCACGTTCGATTTTATTTGAACAGGGGCAATTCCCTCAACTGAGCATTTCACCAGTCCGTTCTCACCTGAATCCAAATCTTTTACATTAATTATTCCGATGGTGGTGCCCACGGGAGCGTCTTCTGAAACGGGACTGGTGAACGACATCACATTTATAACAGGCGCATTGTCATTAACATCTAGAATGTCTATTTCTACTTTGCAAGTATCTGTCAGTCCTCCTTGGTCTTTGGCCTCAACTCTAAACTCCAACTTTTTTTCTTTTTCAAAATCTAATTCTTTTGCTAAAAAAACACTCCCTGTGTATTCATCAATTTCAAAGAAATCGGCTACTGATGCTTTTGATTTGGAAAAGGAGTATGTTACTTCACTGTTTGCTCCACTGTCTATATCACTCGCGTTTACCGTAAGGACATGTGTGCCTATGGGAGAATTTTCAGTCACAGACGCTTTATAAATCCTCTGATTAAACAGAGGGGCGTTGTCATTGACATCTAAGACAACAATATTTATATTTACTGATCCAGATCTCTGTGGACTTCCTCCATCCACAGCCACCAGTTTGAGATTAATCTGCGACTGTTTTTCTCTGTCTAGTGCAGTCTGAAGAACCATCTGAATGAATTTAGTGCCGTCAGGATCAGCGTTTTCTTTCAAGATAAAATTATTGTTTGGAGTTAACACATACTTCTTGTAAACTGTTTAGCCCTACGTCAGAATCACCTGCCGCCTCCAAGTCAAAGCGCGATCCTGTCATTGCTGCTTCACTGATTTTGAAATCCAATTGTTTACTCTCAAAACTGGGCGCATTGTCGTTTATGTCCAGCACCTCTATAGTCACAGGGTGTAACTCCATCGGGTTTTCCAGTAAAATCTCAAACGTGAAGCTGCAGGGCGTCACGTCTCCACAGAGCTGCTCTCTGTCTATCCTCTCATTCACCACCAGAGTCCCTTTGTCTGTCTTCAGCTCGGCGTACTCAACATTTTCTCCAGTCACGATACGAGCTCGGCCAGAACGAAGCCTTTTTATGTCCAAACCCAAGTCCTGCGCAACGTTACCAATAAGAGAGCCCTTCCTCATCTCCTCTGGGATTGAGTAGCGGATCTGTGCGTCGACTTGAATCAAAAATATCATCAAGAAAATACACGACGACATTGCTTCAACAGATGACACGGAGAATGTTCCTGATGATTTTCCGTGTTTGAATAGTTCGAATGCCATGGTAAAATACAGCTATCGAAGAGCTAGAAAAATTAACATTTGTTCAATCGTATCCAAGTACAATGTTATGGATTGACGTTCCTCAGGCTCTATTTCTACTGTAGAGGTTAAGACGGAATGAAAAGCCACCGTGCTCCTCGAGACAAAACACAGTGATGGGAGGGAATAGCCAGATTCACAGAACCCTCTAAACGACTCACAGGACAACAGCGTCACTTTGAGGACAAACGCAGAAACTATTTGCCAAAGATTTCGCTGGGCTTATACATTAACGGGTAACAAGCGTAATGGACTTTGACCTTGTCAAATCAAGCGATGTATAAAACGACATCTCTATAAATGCTATTTAAAAACTAATTATTAGAATATTTAGCAGTTTCAGGACTGAAGTAATTAAACACGTAACAATGCATGGGATTTCGAAGGTAATCATCAAAGTAAAAATAGGACTGCAGAAGATGGCATAAGTTTAACCAAATATTATATTGTTTATTAGATTGCAACAAAGCAGTAATAATTCCCTACTGAGAAATAAATGATTCTATATTAATGTATCTATATAGAGTATGTGAAATATTGTACTTCACGGAGTAATTCGAAAACATGAAACTCATAAAAGTCTGACTGTAGTTGGACTTTAAAAAGTTTTTTTTTTTTTTTTTTTTAAATCAGCACCATGGACAGTTAACAGCCACTAAGGTCTAAGTGAAGCAGATGTAGAAAAAAACAAATAAAGATATGAAGTTGCAGTAGCATTACATAAAATAAATAAATACAAAATAACAGTATAAATTCAATTAATAAAAAGTCATTAAGAAAATCGGGATTTAAAAGAGGGAATAATAATATACAAATAAATGCTACATCAAGCAGCCTAAAATTACAGATCAAATCGCATCTCTCTTAAAAGCAATTGGTAATAAAAGTTTCTATTAAAAAATATCATTACATGTATGTCCAAGAGCATAAATAAAATTAAAATAATGCCTCACCAATGTAGAGTTTGTGGATCTCTGATGTCCATTCTGCGCAGAATCAGTCTCGACGTCATCAACACTGACCAGACTTTGACTCATGGGCTGCATGTATTTAATGTCACTCTTTCTGGAGTCTGTGGTCCTGCACGTGTCGTAATTGTACACGTGTGGGAGAGTCGCTGTGCCCAGAGTGTCTGAGTAACGTGGAGGATAATATGGGATCACTGGCAGATTGGAGTGATACAGGATGCGAGACTGTCTCCATCTGTAGATTTTCACTGAGATAATGACCACTACACACGTGATGAACAGAAAGGAGACTACAGCCAGAGCCAGCACTAAGTAAAAAGTCAGGTTGTCATTGTACTCCTTGTCGTGCGTAAAGTCAGTGAACTCAGACAGTACTTCAGGAAAGCTGTCCGCCACCGCCACGTTAACAATGACTGTAGCTGAACGAGAGGGCTGCCCGTTGTCCTCCACTATAACAGTCAGTCTCTGTTTGACTGCATCTTTATCAGTCACT